AGTCTTGATAAACCCATCATCATCGTGTGCCTTGGAGTTTTCTGGAGCATCTTCTTGGGCAGCTCTCCTGGTGCTGCCTTCTCTTGTGCCATTTGTCAGTCCCTTGAAGGAAAGTGCTCAGTACACAGCCCTTGCTTGTCTGCTGGTGGTTACTTTTGGAAGTCTGTGTGCAAGAAAGAGAGTTGTTGGTAAATAGTTGCTAATCTAGGTTGTCTGAATTTAAATTTGGAGGCCTGAAAACTGCAGAACCTAAAGAATGGACTGAGTCATCATGTGGGTCCAGACTAGTGAGTTGTACATAGGTTGTATACGTACTGTCACTTTCTCTGTATGTTCCTACAATGAAGCATTAATGAAGTAAGTGGGCAGACACCTCTGTCTTTTAATTTCTTCTAGCAACCTTTGGAAACATCAAAAATTGCTGTCAATTGACCTTGATAAAGTGGCACTGCCCAGTTTTCGACAGAACCGACCCCAAGTGAGACCATTGTCCCCTGGAGAAAGTGGAGCATGGGACATTCCTGGAGGTAAATATTGAAAAATATGTAAGTTGCTGTTTTGGTTTTGCTTTTTGCATAAGCTTTGAAAAAAACCCAACACCCAGTGTAGCCATATGAGAGGCCACTGTTTATTTTCAGCTGTGAAAAACATGCTTACAATAGCATGGCTGTGTTATTAAAGGCTGTCTGATGAAGATTTTTTTTTTGTATGTGAATAGTTTGTTCAGTAGAAAGTGTGTGTGACATACTGGGAGGAAGATCTTGGTGGGTGCATTTTGATAGTTGAGGTTTGTTTGGATGCTGTTCAGTCTGATGGGTCAGCAGCAGCCCCTGTCCTTGGGGGCAGTGGGAACATACCCACTGCTAATTAAAATTCCTTCTGTGAGTGCACAAAAGCAGAATCCAGAAGAGTTTGTCAGAATGGTGCCTTGGGCAAGCTGTTACACTAACAAATAATGTCTAGCACTCAGAACAGCTTTCAGGTGGGCAGCTCTCCTTCACAAGATTGGCATTGCAGGCTGAGCTGGAGGCAGTTGGAAGCCTCATATGTGCTCTTTTCCCAGTCTGAGCTGCTAGACCAGAGACACCTGTAGAAATGAAGGGTTTGTTTCTCTAGCTCATCCTCACTGTATGCACAGTCTCTGGAGCAAACAAGCATGAAATCACTTTCCTTGTTCCATCAGGATCTGAATTACAGCAGTTACTTAGTAGTAAGATTATGGTCAAGTGTCTCCATCCCTCTTTTAGTGCAAAACAGAAGACTGTTGTTGCAGGGGAAATCTGGGCTATGCTTTCATGTGCCCAAATAAGTCAAGGTGGAAATGCTGGTGCTTTCCTTTAACTTTAGCATCCCCTCTGATTTTCACTAATCGGTCTGCAGCTATTAATCTTCCTGTCTGAAGTGTAATCTGATTAATGGCTGCCTGGGCTTTGAACAAGAGTTAGGGGCAGATCCTTCTGCTCGATGGCATTAGCAGCACAAAGCCATCGTGGCTCACGTGGTGGCTGCTGCCTTGCAAACCTCTTTGCCTCTCTAGGTATAATGCCGGGCCGGTACAACCAGGACGTGGGACAGACCATTCCTGTCTTTGCCTTTCTCGGTGCCATGGTGGTCCTGGCCTTCTTCGTGGTGCAGATCAACAAAGCCAAGAGCAGGCCAAAGAGACGGAAACCGCGCGTGAAGCGGCCGCAGCTGGTGCAGCAGGTTCATCCACCAAAGACACCTTCAGTGTGAAACTCTGCCTTGCCAAAGATGACCTCCTGTGGCTGCTCGCTCCCAGTGGAGGTGCACCTGACATCATCTCAAAGTCTTTGGTTTGTGGAGAGAAAAAAAGAACCTCAGCTGATCATCTGTACATAAAACTGCAGCTTTAAGCAGTTGAAGCCACCAAAGACTTGAATAGTGTTGAAATGGCTGCTTAGTCACTACATATCCCAAGAGGGGGAAAATGGACCTTTTTTTTAAGCTGACCAAACTAAAATTTATTTGTTTAGAGGCTATTTTCTATATTTATTGTTGGGGAGGGCGGGGGAAAAGTCACTTTAAGGACCTCTGCTAAGGAAAAACAAGTGCATTTTTTTTGATGGAATGCAATTTTTTAGAATGGTTCTATGCTGAAGAGAGTATAATGTGCACCATTAAAGGAGGAAGGGACTGAGAGAGACCAGTACAAATCAGTGAGGCATACTCCTGCAGTTTATTTTTATAAAGCCAACTACCATGATGTTTTGTAATTTTTGGTCACAATTTCACCGTTGTTGGTGAAGCAGATTTTTCAATAAATATGTTATCTATATGAAGCAAAGACAGCTTGCTAAGTGGCTCTTCTTTCCACTTGCAGTCAAAGAGAGCAAATTGCTGGGTAGTGAAGATTTTCATGTCACCTCTCTTCCCACTATATCTTTGTCCTTACCAGTGGTATCCCAAGTTGCAGGCTTTCCTTTGGAGCACTAACTGGGCAGTCACACAAACAGTGCTTGCTCTGAGTGAGCACAGAGTTCTGGAAACCTTCCAAACTCTGCAGCACATAAGGAGAAAGCTCTCGAAGAGCTGTACAGAAAACTGTCATGGGAATGGCACCCAACAGCACTGTGTGGTGTCACAGAGATGAAAACCCTGTCTCCTTTGGTTTGTCCTGCTTGAAAGCCTGTGAATTGTCACTGGCTTAAATAAGGATGCAGGCACAAGTTTCCCCATCTGTGCAGTGCCGGTTAATGTTGCCATAATTGAAATAGCTTCTCTCTTTTCCTAGTGAAGCTGTCAGCTTCTCCCTGACAACTGCTTTCCTCATTGCTCCAGATGAGCACCTTTTTCTAGGAGCCAGGAGCTGGTGGCTGCTGTATTTGTGAATGGAATGGCAGCCTGGGCAGGTAAGCAGTGCGCACTGGTGAATGTTCCTGGGTGAGTTTGTGGGCAGCTCTGGGCATGGCTGGAGAAGGACGAGGCAGGGACAGCCCTGCTGGGCAGTCTGACTGCACCCATCCTCCTAGGGCTTACCAGCAGGGATGGGGGTGGGCTGTGGGAAGTGCACTACAGGAGAGAACTTTGCTCCATGTAGTCGTAGAGCCATGGATAGGGTTTGTGAGTGTCCTGCAAAAAGACTGGGCAAACCAATTTTCCCTAACTTGAAGAGTGGTTGCCTTTTTCCAGCACTTCTCTTCTGGAGGATGCACTGGGACAGGCAACATTCTGTTGCCATGGCAGAGAAGGCACTGAGCTTTTGCTTTGGTGCTGTTAGTGGAAGCTTGTTAGGGCTGAGGAGATGGTCCCTAGGCTGGGCTGTTTGTGCCATCCCAGAGGGGCTGGAGCCTCTTGCTCCTCCCTTTCTGAACACAGATCCATAATAGGGATAGGGAGAGGGTTTTCAGCATCTCAGCTGTGACATATGGGTGAGGACCATCACAGGACCAGCCAGCAGCAGCCGTGCAACTTGTCCAGGTTATAAAAATCAGTAAAGGTGTGAAATCTCAAGGGCATACCCTCAGAAGGGATTGCAGGTAGCAAAGCATAATTGTGATCAGTGTTTTTATTTGTATGAAACAAGGACTGTCCATTTGCATTTTTGTTCCTTCTACAGTCTTCAAAGATGATAATGTGGAAAACATTAACAGCCCTTTTTCCGCCTGCCACAGGGACCCAGCAGCAGGTACAGCTGCCAACCCACAGGGACCCTCAGGTTATGGCTTGCAGCCCAGGGACTGGAGCACCCAGATAAATGTGAGAAAAGGAGGAAATTATAAGGGAGGGAGCCCAGAGCCACTGAGCATAGAAGCTGTCTGGGGCTGCTGTGTTGGTGTGGGAGATGAGCTGCACCTCTCTGGTTTGAGCTGCACCTCTTCCATTAGAGGGAGACTGGAGAGCTTTGGTGCCACTTCTCAGGTCGGTGCTAATGAGGAGACTTGCTCCTCATCACAGCACTAATGAGAGATTAGAGCTCCACTGCAGCCTTGAAACCAGAATCAAGCTGTATCAAAGCACCAGTCCGAATTAAGAGCCTTTCCCAGTGGCTGGTATTTTACAGCCCAGTGGCTAATTTCTAAGTCATAGAGGCCAATTATTTCCAAAGCCTTTGGTGTGCAGCTAATGAAGGCTTGGAAGGGCCCTTCTGAGTGTTTATAAGCTCTGTAGGCGGCAGAGATGTAATGGAGGTGGCAGGCACAATTAGCCATCCATAATTCCTCCTAGCAGCTGATTAAAGTCTCTTTATCCATCTTACCAAGATCAGAAGGGCACATGTTTGGGAAATCAAAAATGCATTAGGGGCTGTCAGCCAAGGCCAGGGCCTGTGTGCTGAGCCCTGGGGCAGTGGCATGGGCAGGAGTGGCACAGAGCTGCTGTGTGTCCCCGTGTGGGGAATGGCTGCCTCATTCCTGTGGGGTGCAGCCTCCTCCGTGCAGTCCTCTGCAGCATCAGTCACCCCATCCTGTTATCCTGGCATCCCCTTTGCCTGTGCGCAGCAAGCAGCGAGATGGGATGGCTCCTCTCCAGAGTGTCCCAGTGCAGGAAAGCACCAGTGGGCTTTTAGGTGTTTAGGAGACACGCAGGGGGGCTGGCCTCATCCTGCACCCAGCGAGCTGCGAAGGCAGCTGCGGTGTGAGCTGCAGCTGCCTTCCTTTACCCTTCCCGGGGCACTCCCTAATGCCCTTTGGTGGCAGTTTCATGTCTGAGTGAACAGAGCGGGATGAGGGTGGCCTCAGTCCGCCCAGCCCCGTGGTGATGTGGTGATGATTTCGGGGATAGTGAGAGCACGAGTCCCGGGCGGCTGTGCTCCGTCGGAGCGCTCTGAGGGCCGGGGTGCCGCACGGGGCTGCGAAGGGGCCGGGGCTGTGAGCGGGACGGGGCTGTCCGCGGCTGGGCTCCTGCCAGGGCCTCCCCCGCCGCCTCCCGCCCGGCCCCCGGAGCCCCCTCTCCAGCCCCGCGGGGGCGGGGGGTCCGCGCTGCCCGCGCCGCCCCCGCGGGGCCCTGCGGAGGGGCCGCGCTCGGGCCACAGCCCTGCCGCGATGGAGCGGGCGGCGGGCGAGGGCCGGCCCCTGCTGCCGGCGGCGGGGGGCTCCGCCGGGCTCTCCTCGCCCGGGCTCTCCTCCGCCGGCGCGGTCTTCATCCTGCTCAAGTCTGCGCTGGGCGCGGGGCTGCTGAGCTTCCCCTGGGCCTTCGGCAGGGCCGGCGGGGCCGTTCCCGCCCTCCTGGTGGAGCTGGTAAGGGGGACTCGGGGGCAGGGGCTGCGGCAGCCCCAGAGGGAGCCGAGGGGCGCCGCTCCGGGGAGGGAGCGGAGGGAGGGGACGCACCTGCTCTGCTGCTCGGGGAGCTGCGGACGCCCCCTCCGTGCGGCACCCCCGTCCCGACCCCCGCCACATCCTTAGGGTGGTGTTGCGGTGCCACCTGAGGGATGCTCTTTGCAGCTGAAGCCGCACTTGTAGCTGGCTTGTAGCTCGACTCAGAGTAAATGGGTGTCTGCTCCCGTACATGCCCCAAAACCCCAAATCTAAACCCGAAGTACCACCGTGTCTCCATCTTTTGCTGACCTTTGTTACCCAGGCCCACAAGATGATCTGGCCGGTAAGCTGGTCCCTGGCCGTGGGCCTGCTGTGTCCTGTCCTACTCTGGGGGTGATGGAGGGGATGTGGCGCTCCTTGCCGGCTCTGTCCCCGCAGGGCTCGCTGGTGTTCCTGGTGAGCGGGCTGGCCGTGCTGGGCTATGCCGCGGCCCTCAGCGCCCAGCCCACCTACCAGGGCGTGGTGCGGGCCGTGTGCGGGGCGGCCGTAGGGAAGCTCTGCGAGGTCTGCTTCCTCCTCAACCTCTTCATGATCTCCGTGGCCCTCCTCAGGGTGGTGGGCGACCAGCTGGAGAAACGTGAGTTGTTTCCCTTCACTGTGTTTGGGGCTTGCTTGGGGAGTGGGGGGAAGGTGGTCCCACGTGGGCTGGGGTCATCCCCAGGGTTTTCCTGGAAATTCCAAAGACATGGGGCTCCCTGGTTCTGCCATGGTGTGATGCTCCCGGCCTCCTTGGGCCATCTTTCAAGGTGCTGCTGACCCCCCCACTGCCCCCCACAGTGTGTGACTCCCTGTACCCCAATGGGACACTGAGCGGGGCCCCTCAGCTGCCCCCCTGGTACGTGGACCAGCGCTTCACCCTCTCAGCTCTCTGTGTCTTCGTCATCTTCCCACTCTCTGTCCCCAGGGAGATCGGCTTCCAGAAGTACTCCAGGTACCACCTGGGCTATCCCTGTGGTACCCCTAGGCACCCTGTACCCCAGGTTACCTCCTCCTAGGAACCTGTGGGAACCCCCCTCCTCCCTTCCTCCTGGCTGTGTGCTGATGCTCTCCCATGCCCTGACAGCATCCTGGGCACGCTGGCTGCCTGCTACCTCACTCTGGTCATCACCCTGAAATACTACCTGCAGGCAGAGAGCCTACATTTGACTGAGCCGCCCCAGCCCTCGAGGTAGGAGGGTCAGCCCCATGTCCCTCCTGCCCTGAGCTCCATGGCCTGAGCAGTGACATGGGGGCAGGGGTGAGGTGGGGCAGGAATGGCACTGGGCCCTGTGTGTGGTGGGGGTGAGCTGGGGGCAGCTCACAGTGGGTGGTAGCTCCCAGCCCCAGCTTTCACCACAGCAATACCCCTTTCTCCCAGAATCACTGGGAAAGAGATTCCCACAGGGTGCAATCCAGGCTGCCCAGTTTATGGCATGGTTTCTTCTCCATGAGAGCCTCATGCCTTTTGTTTGTGCTTCCTCTCCACATGCCACAGGTCCTTGTCCTGGACCTCCATCTTCAGTGTCATTCCCACCATCTGCTTTGGCTTCCAGGTAGGTCACCCTGGCCCCTCTGGCTGCAGCTGCCAGGGCAGTGCTGGCAGTCCCCCATGGCATCCCAGACCATAGGGATGCCAACCCTTGAAGGGCAGGTTGCAGGAAAGGGGACTTGTGGCTGTCACCAGAGGTGCTGTGGGGCAGGACACAAGTGCTGGGAATGCGGCAGAGCAGGACAGGGCACCCATAGGTGTGAGAGAGGATGCTGGGGATGGGGACTGTCCCTGCATGGGGCCCCAGCACCATCCCCTTGCCTTGCAGTGCCACGAGGCATGTGTGGCCATCTACAGCAGCATGCGCAACCAGAGCTTCTCCCACTGGGTCACCGTCTCTGTGCTCTCCATGCTCATTTGCCTGCTCATCTACTCCCTCACTGGTAACCCCAGCACCAAACCCCTCACCACTCCTTGCCCTGGGCTTCCCTCTCCCCTTGGCTCATCCCTTCTCCTCAGAAATCCTGTGTCCTGCTCACTGCACAGCTGCCCACCCCCCATCCCTGTCAGCAGGGCTCTATGGCTACCTGACCTTTGGCGAGGCCGTGGCGTCCGATGTCCTGATGTCCTACCCAGGGAATGACCCGCTTGTCATCGTTGCCCGCCTGCTCTTTGGTGTCTCCATTGTCACCATCTACCCCATTGTGGTGCTGCTGGGCAGGTGAGGGGAGGGTGACAAGCTGGGTGTCCCCCGAGCCAGTGCAGCTCCCCTGGGTGCCATCAGCCCCTCAATCCTCCCTCCCAGGTCCGTGGTGAAGGACCTGTGGGCAGCCCCGAAGCGCAGGGCCGTGGCGGCGTCTGAGGCACACGAGAGGCGGGGCCGGGTGGCACTGACGGTCACCTGGATGGCTGCCACGCTGGGCATCGCCCTCTTTGTCCCCGACATCGGCAAAGTCATCGAGCTCATCGGGGGCATCAGCGCCTTCTTCATCTTCATCTTCCCAGGCAAGAGCAGGCACAAGGAGGGAGGAAAGCAGTGGGGGGACACTGGTGCCAAGGGCATTGCTGCAGGGGAAAGTGGCCTGTCCTGGCCCTGTTTTGGGGGTGCAGGGCTGTGCTTGGGGGGGACAGTGCAGTGACGGGTGCTGTGTGGGGCTGAGCTTCTGCACTGACAGCAGGGCTGTGCCTCGTGTGCCTGACTGGGACCCGCAGCCTCGGGCCACGCAAAAAGTGAGTGTCTGCCTGCTCAGCGGTGGTGGGGGCAAGGGAAGGGACAGGGACAGGGTGTGGTGTCCCATGGGCCATGGCCAAGGCAGACCCCTGGGCAGTTCCCAGGTGGGAACCCTGAAAGGAGGGAAATTGAGGTGTGGAGGGAAGTGCTCTGGGAATGCTCCTGGATGCCAGGGCTGTGTCCACACATCAAGGAGGTGCCCAGGTACCAGAGTGACTTTAGGGGCAGAACAGCTGAGGGTTTTGGTGGCCCTGGGGCACCTGGTGGGGACTGGGTGGGGTCAGGTTGGGGGTCAGAGGGGCAGGGTGCCCCAAGACAGGAGACCATCAGGTGTTCGGTGTCTGTTGTGCTGGGATGGTGTGTCTCCATCACTGCTCCTGTCTGGAGGGGCAGGGGCACAGCAACCATGTAAGGGGGACCTGACACGGTGCTGGTGAATTTGGGATGTGTGCTTTAGTGTGTCTGTGGTGCCCCTGGGGGAGCAGCAGAGTTTGAGGGAGGACAGAGGTTATGTGGTGAGTGGAGGCAGCACTCCAGGACATTGGGGTCTTGGTCAGGAGGGTGCTCTGGGGACCCATAAACATCTAGGGAGGGGCGAGGGTGTCCCAAAGGGTGCCAAAGTGCTGGAGGGGCCAAGGCACAAGGTCAGCAGGGGCACCCAGGTGGGTGACAAAGCTTGAGGAGGTCCCTTGGGGAGACCTGCCAGAGCATGAGCCCGTCATGAGGAGAGGGGCCGACATGAGCTGGGGCGATGGAGACTGCGAGGGGACAGTGCCAGCCTGCCCAGGACAGTCTGGGAAGGAGCACGGTGCTGAGGACCCTGCAGCAGAGCAGCAGCTGCTTTGGGGTGAGTGCTGCATGCAGGAGCTTGGTCTGGGGTGAGGTGGGCTGTGTGCCTGGGGAGGAGGGAGCAGGGAGGTGCAAACCCAGGGCTCTGGGGATTGGGGCTGGGGAGGGGACAGGGCTGGAAGCACGTGGGGACAGGATGGAGCTGGGGCTCTGTGGGAGTGGCTGTGTCCAAGGGTGGGGGGATATGGGTCTCTGCTCCATCAGCAGGGCCACTGGGCACAGCAGAACTGGGAATGATTGCATGGTGGCATCTGCTGGCTTTTTGACCAAGGTTTGTGTGTCATTGCAGTGGGCAGGGGCTGCCAGGCTCTTCTGCCATCGACTGGGAGCGGGGCAGAGGAGGCTGAGCCTGCAGGGAGCTGCACAGCCAGAGGAGCTGGGGTGCAGGGGTGACCGTCACTGAGGTCAGCTCTACCCCGGCAGCCTCTGCTCCTGTCGCTGCAGGGCTGCTCTCATCGCCTGGGGCGTTCTCTCCGTGCTCGGAGGTGCCTTTGTCTGCGGGCAGAGCGCTGCCCTGGCCGTGCTGGGGCTGCTGCGCTGAGGGACCTCCCTGTGTCCCCACCGTGACCCCCCAGCGTCCTGCCCTGCACAGAGACCCCAACACAGCCACACCACTGGATCCCATGGCGGTTTTATTTGGCATCACCGTCCCTGTTGTACAGTGGCTAATAAAGACAGGAGAGGGTATTGGCAAAGGTCCTGTGCCACACACCCTGAGGGACCCCCACACACAGCAGGGTGGGTGTGGGATTGGCACAGATGGACAGACACACAAATACAGACCCCAGGAGGGAGGGGAGGCAGCCACTCTCACGTCTACAAGGCACCAGCTGCAACTGTGCACATGCAAAGGAGACCCCTGGGGACCCCCCACAGCTGGAAAGGATTAAGGGGCACCTAGGGAGAAGGGAAACCCCCCTCTACCACCACCCTGACTCCCCCTGGGGCACGGGTCCCCATCCCTGCAGGGACACACACACACCAGGCACAGCCTCCACCCCCCAGTCTCCTCGCAGGGTGGCCCCTGGGGACTTGCACAGACCACCTACCCACTCCCTGCTTTCAGGGGGGGCTCCAGCATCCCACTCCCATTCCCATCCCTCCTTCCTAGGGCCTGCCTGCCTGCACCCGTTGCCCCCCTCCCTGCCTACCTATATCTGGGGATGTCCCCCTCCCCAAACCCTGCCAGCCCCTCCCTGGCAGTCCTTCTTTCCCCTGAGACCACCCACACCAGGGAGAGGTGCCCCAGGTGGTGGCAGGCTGAGGGAGGACTCTCTGGGGTGGGGGACACACACACAGGGGAGTTTCCTTCACTGCAGCCAGGTCACACTGACACCTTTCCTGGGCATGGCCACCCTGCAGAGGGGCAGGTGCTGGCAGGCCCCTGGCACTGACCGTCACTCTCGGCTCAGGGTGCACCAGGCAGCTGCAGGGGAACATCGCTGGGTCACACCTGCCCAGCCCCTGAACCCACCCCCAGCCCTGCCAGCTCAGCCCGTGCTGTCCTTCACACCATGCCCCCTGCCCACCCTTGCTCCCCAAAAACTGGAGAGGTGCTGGCTGTCCATGGGTCCCTGTCCCCCACCCCCTGGAGTGGCTGCCCTCCTACCTGGCACGGCCACGCTGGAGATGGCCTCGGGCTGGCTGAGCGTGTCCACCTTGACGTGCTGGAAGCCCTTGCAGGTGGCACTCTGCAGGTGCCTGTGCCCAGGTGGGAGAGAGTGGGTGACACCCAGCCCCCCAGAAACACCAACCCAGCCCCTCACAGCACCCAGCTCTGGCAGGGCTGGGTGCCTGCAATCCTGCTCACTTCCCCTTGTGCAGAGAACCCTGCCTTGGCTCAGGACACTGACCCTGCTCATCACCACATCCAAAGGCACTCCCAGCTGGGAGGTGTAGAGACCCACCCCAAGCCCCCTGTCCTGTTTACAGGGACAGCCCCAGGACAGACAGACAGACAGCTCCTCAGTCCTGCTGTCAGATGGGACAGAGCTTGGGGCTCAGCTGCTCTAACAGCCCTCCACACCCAAGCCTCCCAAAATGGGCTTTTTCAGCCCTCCCTACCTCTTCCAGTCCTCTTCGGTCTCCCAGAACTCGTAGACGATGAAGGTGACCCCATCAGGCAGCTTCACTGCAGTGACACTGGCAGAAACAGGGAGAGGGGGTGAGCCCCCAGTGTGGGACATCCCTCCCCCCTCTGTAGCCACAGGTGTGCTCCTGGGTGGGCTATTGAGGGGAGACCCAGCCCCAGCAGCCCAGCTAGGGGCAGCCCCCTCACCATCCCAGCACTCCCCAGCCCATGCAAAAGCAGTGTTGGTGGCTGAGTGTGACTGCATGCCAAATCCTGGCTGCTTTCCTCAGTCCTTTGCTTGGTCCCCACTCCATCCCACGCCAAGCCCCATCTCCCCAGCCCCCGAGAGGCAGCTGCTGCTGGTACCCACTGGAAGCAGTCCCGCTCCCCGGCCACGCTCTTCAGGTACTGCTTCAGGGAGCTGCAGAACTCGCCCAGGTGCTTGTGTGACACTGTCATCTCGTTCCTCACCAGGAGCAGGTACTGCAGGGCCCCCAAACACAGCATGTGAGACCGCAGGAACACAGTGACCCCCCAGTGTGGCTCTGCGCTGCAGGGGCACCCCAGCACCCACGGGGTACACAGCACACTCACCGCGCAGGCCGTGCTCTCGCTGTCTGACAGCCGCTGGTGCAGGTCAAACCACAGCGTCTGGGAAAAGGGCAACAAGCAGCAGAGGGGGTGTGGATTCCCTGAGGCTGCTGTCCCTCCCTGCTTGGTGGCTTTCTGTCCCCACCATTTGCAATGACTGTGCCCCCTCTTCCACAGGGAACGGGCTCCAAGAGCCACTTGCACCTCCAGTCAGAACCCTTCACAATAGTTCCCTCTGCTCCCATTGCAGCCAACATCCCCAGCACCAAATCCTCATCCCTGCCCCAAAACAGCTGGGGCAATGTCCCTGAACTGTCCCTGGGATGGCAGGACAGACGCACTCAGGGAAATGCTGGCCCTTACCTTGTCCTCCAGCTTGCCAATCAGCTTGGCCAGCCTGTTGATCTGCCCCTCCAGCCCCTCTGCCTTGGTGTCAGGGGAACCTGCACAGAGCCAGGAGACATTGATGGAGTAAGGGCAGGCATCCTCTGAGAGTCCTGTGCTGCTGCTGGCACCTGAGTGCTCCAAGCCACCCCAGGCAGCCAGCACTTACCAGCCTGGAGGCTCTTTCCTTGCTCTCTGGGGACCATCCAGGTGCTGGGAGAGTAGCTGGGGACAGAATTGTCATACCAGGTGTCACTCAGGCCATGACCATCCTTGCTGGGGTAGTGTCTGCAACCAGAGAGCACACAGGGGGTCAGGACAGCAGAGCTGGCACTCACAGAGTGGCATGAGCCAGCCTGGGGAGCCAGCACTGGAGCCTCCTTTCTGGCAGCTCTGCCCATGATGCCAGAGCCCTTGGAGAGGTGAGAAACAAAGGAATGTCAGTGGGCTGACATCACTTTTCTTTCCTGCTTATGGAACAGCACAGCCCTCCTGGCACCACCAGCAGCCTTCAGGGCCTCTTTCTGTCCTAGACAGACACCTGCAACATGGGGCATTCAGGCCTCTGTGCCCAGCCAGCTGCACCTTACTGAGGCTGGTTTTGCAGTCCAATGCCTTTGGTGGCTTTCAGGCAGGAAAAGCTGCTGCCACCCAGACTGCCCATGCCTGAATGGCTGCCCATGAGCAGAGGCTGTGTATCCCACTAACAAACTGCAGCTGCTGTTGTCCTGGAGAATGGAAACACCCACTGTATCATTTCCTCCAGCATTCTTTCTTTGTCTGGGTCTACAAAGCCCATTTGGCCTGGAGGTTTCTCATTGATCCAAAAAACTGTCCTGGAACACTTCCACAGATGGAGCATCCATAATCACCATCCAGCAGCAGGTCCTTGGTGCTCCTCCTAGGCCCTCATTTATTTGCAAGCCAGAGAACATGAGAGATCTGCCATCCTCACAAGGGTTTGCAGCTGCCATCCATGTGAGTGAGAGGGGAATGGGTTTGGGGAAGAATGACCCTCTCCTTTCTTCTCCACCACCAGGAATCCTGTGCCAGAGAGGGAGAGGCTGAGCAGCTCAAAGGATTTCCAGTGTTTCCTTCCAGCAAGAGCAGCTCTGTGCCATATGACTGCTGACAGAGGTGCCTGGGAGCCCTGGCTCCTCTTTGTTAGTCAAGCAGCTCCCAGCTGGAGACAACATGCTGAGTGCCCAATGGGCACCACACCAGCCAGCATCTCCCTGCCCTCCTGTCCCTCCCCTGGCACCTGGCTCCTCCTAAGCACCATTGCTGGACACTCTTTCCCCAGATACTTTGTAAATCAGCCAGTGTGGGCTCAACCATATACACAGGGACACAGTGTGCAGGTCCCAAAGAACATCTCCAAGATAAGGAAGCAGGAACAACAATAAAGGGTGCAGGAGCATTCCTTTGCTATAGGCTGTGCAATTATAAGACTGCTGGTCCTGGATTATCCCCTGTCAATAGACAGGAAATTAGGCAAAAACAGGCAGAGATTTATTTTAATCAGAATTTAATGAGGTGTCTCCATCTTGGACCTCTGCCTTTGCACTTTGTTCTACAGCCCTTTATTTTCGTGCTTTTTAGGCCACCTCTTTGTCTTCATGCGGATGCAGGAGATAATTTTTTTGTGGGATTTGCTTTTCTTTTTAGCTATTATCTTCATGAGAAAATAACTACAATACTCCCCATTATGATCTGGGCCCACACATCAGCAAATAAAAGCCAGCAAAGTCTTTCATGGGCTCTAATTGCTCTGCCTGATGTTGGGTTTGTTTCCTCTTCGTTGTTTTGCTGGAGCTCCTACTTCTTTTTGTACAATGTTTGCCACAGAACAAAGAGAAGAAAGGGATGTGAGATGATGAAACCCACAGCATTCCTGCTGGAAAAGCTGGTGAGATGGTGGCAGAGATGCCCAGGTCTCGATGTGTTCCACAGAGTCTGTCTTAGGAGGGAGCTGGGATTTCACTCTCCATGTGTCTCTCTGCCCGCTCATGGCTTTGGGAAGCCAAAACATCTCCCTGCAAGCATTCCAAGGCCTCCTGGTTTGAAGGAACAGCAGGAGAAGGGTTGGTCTGACAAACAGGTTTCCATGGCAACCTGTCCTGGTTAGAGCTGGTGACAGTGGCACTCTGGGGTGCTGTGTGACACTGACACTGAGGGGGCTGTGCTGAGGTTCTGCCTCTGCTGCTGCCACTTCTTATAGCCCAGCCCTGGCAGCACTCAGGAAACCTTGAGATGATCTCCTCTGTGCTGCCCAAGCTCAGTGGTGTGTGCTGGGCTGCTGGCATGGGGACAGCCCCTCACAGGACAAGGGGACAGAGCTGCCTGTCCTCAGCGCACAAGCGCCCTTTCCTTCTGGATGGTGACACCTGCTGAGTGCTCTGGCAGGAGGGGCAGCATCCCTGGCATGGGAATCTGTTCCTGCGGGCTGTCCCCAGCCCACCTCAGGCTGTGTTTTGCCCTGGGTGGGAGCAGTGGTTTGCCCAGAGCTGCAGCCCTGTGCACCCAGTGCTGCCCAGCCAGGTGCTGCCCCTGGTTTGCATCCCCACACACAACACTCTTGTTAAGGGTGACTCTGAGGACTGCAGGAGAGGAAGGGACAGGCCAGGACAGAGTGGTGGAG